TTTAAGAAAAATTTGATTATGATCGTACCATGGATAGGGGATTTCCAACTGGCTCACAAACAAAGCTGCCACTTAGTCAAAAATTACTACAGATGCGTTGATTCACCTGAAAAAAAGAAAAGAGACTAAAGTTATAGGTAAAAATTCATGAGGATCAAATTGATCAATAATAAATCTGAGGTCCATCAAACTTTTGACAACAAAACAGGAGCAATAATTTCTGTTTGAGGCTATATAGAGATAGACATTACACTTTATCTTTAAAAAAAAAGAATTATACTTGTGGGACTGAATTTCATGCTATTTTTCTGCGCTTGATCGCAAGTATTCTCAAATAATTTAATGCAAAATTAGAAATTTTAAGGCACAAGAGGTCTCCCTCTATTTTGACTGTTTTAAGGAAAATGCATATCTCTTTACTTGGGTTTGAGGTAAAGTATTCAAATAGAATAAAGGTAATAATTGACAACAATTAACAACTAGACAAATACATTAAATTAAATAATCACACACTATCAAGTAAGGAACAAAATATTCCACAATTTGATTTCACTTCTTCTTTTCCTCTCAGTTGGTCTTGGAATTCTTCAAGGACCCTACTTGGTGCTACCATTGGCTTGGACGACAAGGCGGAAAAGTGCAGTTTTTGCAATCTTGAGAAATACAGGTTTGAAGTTTCGAAATTACATGGATCCTTATGGCGGAAAGAAAGTTCAAACTAACTTTTTTATGCTAAAAAATTGTAGTTTGGGAGCGAATTGTTCACAGAAAATGCATTAAGACTAGTTTGACTTGAAAGTATTGATGTCTCGATTTTTTGAAGAACCGCACTTACGCTTCTTGTCCTTCAAACCCCTCCAAATATTAGGTTAGTTGATATTTGTCGCACCTTCGGAAGTGCAACTTTTCACTGTGACAAAGCAGGGGTAAACATAGAGACAAGGCAACAAAACTAATAAGCCACTTAGTTTATCTACGTAGATATAAATGCTTGAATGGAGGAGCCAGAAATGGCTCAAAAATATAGTCGATATACAAGTATACTAAACAGAAAAGGACAGAGCTCAGCCTGAAGTGAACAGAGGATTTTTCTCGAGTTGCAATGTAGATTTACGATTTTTGAGTGATGTGTTCAACAAGAAGAATTGCCTCACAAGAGAGAGGTCTGTTTGCAGGTGGTTCAAAACCCTCAACTGGCTCTGGCTTTAAATGGAGTCTTCAGCTGTTTCCGCAAGCTCTGGGTTCCGTCCTTTAGATCTTTCTTTTCATCCTCCTCTACTCTTATAAACCTTAATTAAATAATTTCAAAATTATCGCTTCTACTTTATTTGTTCAGGGGTAAACAAACCGACTTAATACCCTCTTAGTTACACAGGTTATTCACCGAATGCAGAAGAAAAATTATGGAAATTTTAAAGTAACTGCATTGATAAATTATCCGACTAGAGAGTGAAGCATAACACTGCCGTGCTAAGGAAAAACGCCGTATGAACCTCCAGGCGTTGCCAAATTTCCTTTGATAAAACTTGAATTTGCTGGTAAACTTAAGAATATTTTCTTTTCAATTTTTCAGATAATTATGCTCATAATTTCACCAAAAGTTTCTGAAAATTTCAAGGAAAAATGTTCATAACTTTCCTCAAATATGAACGTTTTATCGAAGGAAATTTGGCAACTCTTGAATGTTCATACGGCGTTCTTTCTTAACACGGCAGAATAGAAGGGCTGCAACCTTGCAAGTTGAAATGCATGATTTCCTAGATTGGCCATTGTTACATTACCAGTTATGAACTATTACCCAGAAGTACTTCACAACACTTCCCACCTAGATACTTTTTTTTGTTAAATGCACCCGATCTTTAGAGGGTTAATTTAAAAAATGTACGAAGAATAATTCTGAGGTGCCCCATCCAAATGCAAGTTTCCCTTTTAAATCGTTAGTTTCTGTTGCACAGAGGAACTTGGATTAAAAGACCATACCATGAATACAGCCACCTGTATTCAGATTAAGTTGACAAAGGGAAAAGGTCTTGATAAAGAAACTTTGAAATGACCGATTCAATATGACGAAAAATAATGGAGTGAGAAGTAAGATTTCACTTTCTATTAATTTTACCTGATCAACAGAATGTACAGAGCTGACTATAATGTATGTATATTATTCACCGTTTTTACAGCACTTCCGTGCGCTCTGTGACTCCAACTCCCACTCGTAGCAATCTTACTTAATGACAACTAATGTACGAAGTCTACATGTGAACTGTAGGGGTGCAGAAAATGCCCGTTGGAAAAGCCCCAAAAATGTGGGAGGGAAAATTTTGAAGGGTCATCTGTCAAAAGTCGACGATATACAGAAAAAAGGTCATCTTTTTTTTAATAAGGTGGAAAACTTAGTGGAAAACCGATGAAAAAAAAATGTGGAAAGCCCGCGGGCGGGCGAAGGAAAAAGTGGAAGCTTGGAAGATTCTGCACCCCTGATGTGAAGGACAGTCCTATGTTCCTAAATTAATTAATTAGTCGCAAAACTAATTCTTCTGAGTAAGCTATAACTCAAACAACAATAGTTGTAATAATAATCTAGACACCGAAGCTATACATGTAATGTATTATAAAAAATAAAAAGTATACACCAAACATTAAAAATTAAAAAACAATGTAGACAAAAAAATTAATCCTGTTCTACTTACCGGCTGAAAAAGCACCCTGAAAAATTATCGATTTTTCATGGGTGCTCAATTTTCACTCAGTAACCAACTTCAGCACAAATAATGAAACATTAAAAAATATTCGCAGCAACCCAACTACACTTGAACCAATCATAAATTAAAGATAAGGAAAATTAGTTAGCCATTATCCCATTGAAAAAGAAGATTTGAGAGCACACCACCTTTTGCGAGGAACATTAACGTAAAAAGGATTTGAGAGACAGCTTTCAAAGGAGGATAAGCTTTTGAGAGAGGAAAGTCCGTCTATACAACTCAACACACATTGATACCTTAGCGCGCACAGTGCAGTCAGCTTACGAAGAGAAAAATTCCTGTCAACAATTGAATCATTAAGAAATTCTCAACACCATGTAAAGAACAGGATAGCAAAGGTTTTCTTTGAAGAGAGAGGCAATAGCAAGCATTTACATTAATTAAGGTGGCAACAATAAAACTTTTCGATTTCAAGTGACCCACTCGGGCAAAACAACCAAATACATTCTGGTTAACTCTGGTTAACTCTTGTTAATTCGTTGCAAATATGAAAACAAATGAAATTTGTACACTGAAAGCAACAATCTAGAGAGACTCCTCTTTTTCATAGCTAATATGACATATGCGTATGTTTGAATGTCTAATTCACTGACGGCACACGGCAATCTCTACAATAAAATGGACTGACCATTACTCTATTGTTGAGCTAAAAGAATAATCTGAACTAAACATTTCTGTTTTACGTTTTAAAGAGTTCGTGTCAAAGTAGGTACACGGTCGGTTTGAGCTTGGACAGCCAGCACTAAATCGCAGATTCTTTGCAAAGTAAACAGAATGCAATTGACAACAAACACTAAAACGAGAAATTCTTAGAAACAATATTGAAATCTTTCTAAAATTTGTTCTGCTTTCTCATTTATGAAAGTAGGAAATTTTTCTCCTGATAAGGTGTGCAAGTTTTTTGAGACCACTACATTATTTGTCTACAAATGGTGTTCAGAAAGAAGAAAACTTATTCCCTGTAAAACATCAAGAATTATTTTCTTCCACCATTACTGATCTGATCTAATAAGAACAATGCTTGACAGCTGGAAAGCTTATAGACAAAGTTGATTCTTGGTTCCAAGAACCTAAACAAGTTCATAAACATGTAACAGAACATACATCATGATCTCCTTGTTATCTCTCCTTGTCATCTGAAGCTTGAGCATTATTAATTTTATCAAATCTATTGCATTTTTTTTATTGCTGACATTACCACCTTAACCACATTTTGTGTGCTAAGTTAATTTTTACTTTTTTTTCATTTACAAATTTCTGTCGGGTAGTTAGATATACTTCCTAAAGAGTAGATTTCAAATGATTTTTCCTCATGGTGCCTTGAGCAGTAGGTTTCTCTTTCTTTGAGAGTAATTTAATTACCGAGTCTTACTATTACTGTACACACACCTATACTTAGAATATGCTGCTTGCAATAACCTAGACTTAGAATATGCTACTTGCAATACTGTAAGGCAGAATTTTTTGGCCACCAAAATTACAGCCTTATCCTATAAATTTGCTATTCGACAGGTATACCGAATTGTGGGAAAAATCTATTAAGAGCCTACATGAGTGTAACTTGGAGCCAGAAGAACATGATTTGCTTTTTAAAAGTCGAGTATCACATGAAAATGTGTCTCCGTTGCTTGCAAGGTTAGTTGCAATTTGTGGAGTTTGGTATTTCATTCCTGGCAAAAGCAAGAATGCAAACAACCTGATTTTTCCAAAAATGTTGTTTCGGATTCCTTTTTCCTATGCTACAAAAATTTCCTCCACGGAAAGAAGAATGATACAGCAATGGCAATTGAACTGATAATAGATCGTAACTACAATTTTTGCAAGCCTTTGGGGTTTTAAAAAATGATTTTTCCAAGATTCACTTGCCGGCCCTCCATCATATTTGTATAGCTAGTTCTAATTAACGCTACTGTCACTATCAAGCGGATCTGAGGTTAGCTTGTGTGGCTGGCTAAATCATTCAAGCTGTTGATAGTGATCTAATGTCTCCTTGAGAAGCGAATCAAACTAATGCAACTCACATTGCTCCAAATTGATGTTTTTTCATGAGAGAACAAATTTGAAAACCAAAGGTATCCACAAAACTTGAGATCACGACTTATTGCTTCCCCCTAGAATTTTATTTTTTTGCCCTTTCCGAAAGGATGATTCACAAAACAATTGCAAGGAGGGGGGAGGGGGTCTTAAATAGAGATAGTCAATTGTTAAAATTTCTTAGTCAATTAACGCAATAAGCAGGAGTAAATTTTTGTTACACATTATTTTATTTACAAAATTATTGGTATATAAATAGATGAATCAACACAAAAACAGCCACGCTCGCAAATAGACAGTCGCAATCAGACAAGCTTTCATCCTTATATGTACAGACAGTTACATCCAGTGCAATGGCTGGAATCCAATGCTTTTCCAATGATTATTCGGAAATTAATGCTATTATTACATAAAATTTAAGAGACACATTCCTGAAAGATCATATTTCTTGTCTTGATTCCTGTATCACAGATTACTAATTGTCACATATAAATTCATCATTACTATTTAAGACTCATGACAAGATTTATCTCGGCAAACGGAAGTCTCGTTTGAAAAATCGGGAACAGCAGAGGTGAAAGAGCCTCTAGAAAAAGCATGAATTGAAGCACCATGCAACATGTTCCTTCTTCGAAGTTTCACAAGGATACCAATTCACACAACAGAGGAAGTCTGAAAATCAACTCCTACTCCTATGCAAGATACAAGTGTTCGCGATAAGATTGGTTAAATAGCAAAAATACAAATTACGTCATTTCTACAATCTAACTTTCATTTGATCTGTGTTAAAGAAGTCAATTTCTTGTTTAGAAGATGGTTTCTGAACCTTCCATTGTGTGAATCGCTTCCTATGTAAAATTTTGAAGAGGAAACAAGAGAGGTTTTCTATCAGTTCAAACTCTGTCTAGTGGCCCTTTATTGACAATTCCCTCAAGATGAAAAGTTTCATTAATGTATCGAGTCGATTTCTGGGCAATTAATACACCTTGAAAATGACTCAAAATAAACTTAAAAAAATACAGCTCAAAAATATCTTCTTCTGTTTGATTCACAGGAAAGGACAGAGAAGGGGGAGTATTTTAAAAATTAGGAAAATATTTTTTTACAAACACAACTTAGAAAATACAGGAAACCTTATTTACAATTTCGATTGTTGGCGTGGCATGTACTTTACTGTGTTTTCAGTCCATAAAAAACTTCTAATTTCATATCGATGGCTGAAGTGCGAGACCACTTATCTTCGTTCATGACGTTGCAGACTTCCTGTCATACTCAGTTTCTTTTTTTTTCCTTTTTTTTTTAAAGAAATTAGGCAAGGTACTTTTTTGAAAACTTCCTTGATTTTTTTTCTTTCTTTCCCCCCCCCCCCTTTTTTTTTCTGTAAGCAGGCTATTCTGGCAAAATTTTAAACCGCAAAGTTGACTTTTATCTCTTCAAAAAAAATAAAATAGGAGCAGAAATTTCAAAACGCTGCGATGGGGATACTTGGTTTCTCACTTTGGCCATTGATATGAGGTAAAGATAAACAATTGCAGAAAATTGAAAAGAATTTTGAATACTTCTCCACTAAAAATCAACATTTCCTTACAGTTTAAATGTGCTGAGAATTAAAATTGACATTAAGTCAGAGAAATGATAGCTGCTAATTCGTACTTGATGACAAGATTAATTGAAAATAAGGATGAAAAATTAGAGGGATTAAACATTAAAACAATTCGAACCGTGCTTTTATTCTTCAGTGTTTCTTCATAGAGTGGCTGCTTATATTAAAAAGGAACTCTTCGAGAGCTCACTGACGCAACTGAGCTATTTGTTGGCTCTTACATGCAGCTTAAATGCAGCTAAAGGGTCTCTTCCTCGTCAAAAGTTAATTCTGGTACAAATTATACGAAATTTGACTTAAAGAGACCTCGAGGACCTTTTTAGGCTATTGGCTAAAAGAATTACCTACAGTTAATCACCGTTTCATTCGATCAACTTCTTACACTTTTGTGTAACTTCAAATGATACACAGAGGCTATTGGTACCTTACATAGACTATTCTAAATCACTTGGCTGAGAGAGGAAAATATGGTTGTTTCCCTGCGGCTCGATTATTGAAACTTAATCAGAACAACAAGAATAGACAAATCCCTATCTTAACCTTGCAATATATTGCATATCGATGTCTTATTGCATTGATTTTAACTTTCAGTAAGCGGCCTGCTGAAAAATTCTTTTAATGCTTCCAACTTTTCGTTAATTTTCATGCCATTCTCAATAATTAAAAATCTGGGGTATTAAAAAAAAAAGCTTCTCTGCAAAATGCACGGACTTAATATCAGAGAATAGATGTGATGATGCAAACCTCAAAAATTTGAGTCACTCAAAATATATAATAGAGATCATTTTCTACCAGAAAAATACTGTGTGAACTTCAAACTGATTGGTTAGTGTTCATTAAGTAGTTGTGAACTTTACCCTAGTAAATTGAACGACCTCACCAGAGATTGACACTTATTAAAGTGAATTGATGAGTAAGCAAACAATTAAGACTGGAGAATTGGACCTTTAAACACGTAACTAATTTACCATCGCTGTGGGAGGATTTGATGGGCACACAAAATATACATTAAAGTATTTGCTGCATTAAAATTTGCTTGGATCCTTCAAGAATTAATACTACCCTTAACATTCATACATAAGAACCGATGCGGTTCACGATAAAATTTTCTCCTGAAAATAACGGTGGCATAACTTAACGTTCTGAAACTTTTGCAGTCCACAAGGCTGTTTATAACACTGTACATAAAATGGTATAGTCAGCATTAAACGTACACAAACTGAGTCTAGACGCGAGCAATGTAAAAGGCCATTTATAATAACAAACGTTCTGGTAAAATTTCTGAATCATTCTACTGATGGTGTTTCTAACAGCCACTGGCGCAAGAAATTTCTGTTAACATATGATCAGTAAAGAAAGTGAGCTTGAAAATTTTTCATGAATATGTGTATGAACTGTTGAACAACTGTGCTTGAAAAGCTGGGATTGAGAAATCACAAAAAATTAATTTTCAGTCTATCTTTCAGCGGTAATTTTCATTTCTGATATGAACCAAGAGTTCATAATATTGAATTATATCACCTCTGCTACACATCATTTCTCACTTGAAATTTTAAGATTGTAAAAAGAAGAGAGGCCTTGACAGGGGGAATACAGCTTGACCTAAAAATTTAGCAATCATTGCGAAGTGCCATTCAGATGAGGTTCGCTTGAGGAGTTATATACAGCTTAAAAAAGTAGAACTCAATCATGGTCGTTAATGTGTTGCTTTTAAAATGACGCACACATGCACAAATTTTTGGCTGGTAAGAGCCAAAATTAAGGATAGCAGAACCTCCATTTTTAGCAAGGCAAGACCTCAGTTGAGAATTGTTCAATTTGGACAACTTTAATCATGAATTTCTTTAATTCGGAATCAGATAGTCTTTTTACATTGCTCGTTCTGCATCTCCTGAAATGAGTTAACTGCACAAATAATGCTTATCAATAAATTAAAATAGTGTCATGGACTCAAAGCGCAGTGTTGCTGAGGTGATGCTTACTATGATGATAATGATTGAGTAATTCCTTTGTCTGCTTCTGACAGCAACTGGTAGCACCCAACTTGGACGCCCACTTCTAAAACACACACATTACCCACCTTTCTTAAAAACGGAATTCATTTCATACAGCAATTAATTAAAACACATTCCCTAACTACATTAAAAGACCTAAAAGAAAAACTACCTAATGCATTTAATATTATGCTGACGTTTCCCACGTTATGGTGACGTGGACCCATATTACACTCAAGTCTTGCTCACTGATTTTATTTATGTAAGAGATCATTCACCGAAATAGGACCTGAATTTACCAAGGTAAAGTTCAAGATTGGGGATTTGTTTCAAATTAAGTATGAGATCAGAATCCGACTTTTCAATTTAAAATATTTTCAATATATATTTCAATTATAATTCAATATAAAATCTCATATAAAATAAATTGCACTTGGTTAAGTTCACTTTTGTACCAATTTTAATCCGACAATTTTAGGCCTCTCACATAGAAATAATAATTTTAGATTTCTATTTCTCAAAACTACAGTTCTTGGACTGAGAGCTGTCACGCGTAGAAATAGTTTTACATTGTTGGAGTTTATTAGGAGTGATGAGTTTCCTTCATTATTAAATTGTATGACTTGTCTCTGATCTCTGAAGATTTTGTACCCTCAAAAATGACTAATCCCAGAATTTTCAATAATTTTGGGCAATAACGAACTTGTTCATAAGACATAACTGGTTTAAAGTCCAGACCTGCCTCCTCTCCCTTCCTTTCAAAAAAAAAGAAGAAAAGAAGTGCAAACTAAACTATTTTGAAGAACAAACAAAATGAAAAACATCAAAGTATAATGACGGCATTTCTCAATTTATTCCTGACTTTTCAAAGTCTCAATTTGCAATTTTTGGGGGCTAATGTCCTTTTTCGATGAATGAACACGAATCTCTTGCAAGTCAAAACAATATGACTCTCCCAGCACGATAATAGGACTTTTTTGCTGTGATTTCCCTGATGATGTTGAATATGACTCAACCATGCCACGTCGACCTCTCAAGTGTTCTCAGCCAAGGCACGGCTTGGCACTAAAAGCTACATTGCTTTTTGGAGCCGTGATTTCACAAAAAGAAACCCAGAGATGATCTGGCTAATTTCAACTATTACCCGAGATATAAATAATGCTTGCTATGAAAGATCTCATCAAACCATCTCAGCAATGATCTTACAAGTTTGGAGAGAAGTTCCTGATAATTTTTACACTAAACTTATTTCAGTGCCACATGGTTAAATAAAAAAGAGACATATTTGAAAAAAAAAAAAAAAAACCCCATCATGATGGAGAAAATATTGGGTTGTAGATACAAGTCAATTTTCAGCATGATGAACCATCATAGAGTCACATGATAATTAGTGACCTAATACTAACTTACGTAAAAATGACGACTATCCAAAATTTGAGATGCTTATTGTTTTTTCACAAAT